AATTTGTCTATTTGCATGTTAATAGTCTAAATTCTTTGATGCTTTATTTAATAAAATAAAAATTGTTAAGTGCATTACTATAATTACTATAAAAAATCAGGCTTAACTCTCATCGACAATCAAGGGCGAGAAAAAGAAGATTGGGTAAGTACTTTATTTCTTGTTTTTCATATTTATTCTTTATTTATTATTATAAAAGTAACTAAAATCTAAAAATATGGATCTTTTTAAGTTGTTTAATATTAGATTAGGTAAAATAAGTAATAATAATAATATCATGAAAATTGCTCATGAGGCACACATGCGAGCAGCTCGTGGGTAATGTAATTCAATAACGTAATGTGAGCTGCACGTTCCCCGAGTGATTTACAACTTATAATGGTGAGGATGGTAGTTAGACACGGTTCAAAGGGCAATAAAACAATAAAATTTAATTATAAATAGATGTATAATGTTACGAACTTAGAGCTACTTAGGATAAACGAATGTAGTTTCATGTTACAATTTGAAGTCATTCTAGAAAGAAAAAAGGGTAATATACGTTTATTTCGATTTTTCTTTTTTTTTTGGTGGTTATGTGGTCAGTTGAAGTGATCGATCCAGTTTTGAGATAGGGTAGAGAAAATATGAGATAAACTATAAAGTGCTGAAAAAAAAAACGTTTGAAATGTATTTGGGAGGTTTTAGGGATTACACAAAGGAAATTTGAGATTTAACATGAAAATTACTTTGCACATGGACTATTCAAAACAAATACCCAATATATTAATGGACAAAACTTTATTTTATTGTATTAAAATTCTTCACTAAAAATATGATTTTTTTGTATATGAAAAACATAATATGAACTGAAAGATTGCCAAATTTTGTGAAGATATACATGCTATATTGAAAGTTAGAAGTATTAAATCTATAAAGACTTTAATTGAGTACAAAGTGGTCACGTGGTTGATCAAATTGACCAAGCCCATGTTGAGAGAGTTAATTGGTATAACATAAACCAAAAGTAGTTTAATAAAGTTTTGAATATAAGACACAAAAACCTTTTGTCATGCGCAGTAAAGGATACCCATGGTGATAGGGTTAAAAGGAAATTACTTTATTGCATCCAACCTAACAACTATGAAATATGAAACAGTACAGCTTAAAATTGCTACAATTATAACAGATGTGATTATCAGAATCATTCACATGTGGAATTTTAAGAAAAAAGGAGATTTTTCTCTTACAACATATGAACTTCCTAGTGTGTACTGCAGTAGCACGAAGCATTGTCAACAAGAATTGTTGAAAGGTATGAAGTATATCTGTGGTTGTTTTAGTAACTACAACACAACTATTATTGTTGTAAAGGGCACAGTGAATTGTACTAAAACTTTTTTGTTCAATACATTTAGCAAAGTTATTAAAGATTTGGCACAAAAAAAACTTCATTATTTTTCGGATCACTTATTTTGGTTATTCAAACAAGTTATATCTTAAAATACTTAAGTGATGAAAGCTCTTGCAATTAATTTTAATGATAAATAATAATTGTAACATTTAACACATAAACAAATGTTTTTATTTGCATTTTTATAAGGACAAGGATTATAAGATGAGAAATTTGCCAAAAATTACAAGTTAAAAACTGTTTACTATGGAGGTTGTTTCACTTGTAATGAAACTACAATAAGGTATATCTGTAGAAGTGAACATATTTTTTCCACATCCTTATTTTTTTATCTGATGTGTATTGATTCCTGTGTAGGCATACTTGTGCAATTTTACTCTTTTTTTTTTATGTGAATGACCATATTTAAACAACTTCAGTCATCATAACATTATTTATCATTATGAGATGTGATAAATATATAAAAATTATATTGTTTAAAGATGATGCTGGCTATTTTGTCATAAAATCTAGTGTTTGCATTAAGGTTTTATGATACACCTTCACCCTTTGATTTTGTGATGCAAATATTCAAGAAGGAAAAGATTTTTCACTTATTTTATGTGTGCCATTTATATTAATCAGTTACACATTAGAAATTATGTTATCAATGAAACTGAGATACTTTTCTAGTTATGGAACCAGTAATGTTTTGTTACATTACTGCTTACTGAATGGTTTTATATGAGACTCATACTGAAGTAATGTTAGTGAGACATCATTCAGTCATCACAAAGGAATACAGATATATCATGTCATGTGTGGATCTAAAAGGAGAAGGCATGTATCAGGTCCATGTAATAGTGAACTAAGAAAAGCAAGAAAAATTCTTGCTCTTTGTACCAAATGCCATAAATAGTACTATTTTCCAAGTTTTTATGAGTTTTGGATATTCTAAGAACTTATGAGTAAAAGTAAAAAAATGTATACAAATGTGTCAACCACACATATCCAATGCCAACAAACAACAATTCCTTTTGCTCAATACCAGCAGGGTGCATCAGATCAGCTGGAATACAACAGACATAGTAGCGGTTGAGATGCTACTTGTCAAATTTCATGAAAACAACAACTGATATGGTATGAACTTTATTAAGGTGGGAAAGTGTAATTTTTATCAATTTTGGAGTCATTTACAAATCAGAATTAGAGTGAAGATAAATAACACAATACTATTTATTATTCTAACACCAGTTATATAATATTATTATTATGATTTAATTTTGCTTCAATTAAGTTTACTTATCATTCACAAGAACTGACAAACTAGCAAGCTAGTCTTATTGTTGCTGGTGTGAATCAGGCTACCACAGCATCAATGTATAATACTTCATTAGTAAGATGTGTAACAATATGTCAACTGAACTATATCTACTATCTCCAATACCAACTGTTTGCTGATATCAAGACTCATCAAACTGGCTAGGATATGACATACATAGTTGAGATGCTATTTGTATTATCGAATTACATATTATGATGTGAACTATATTACGATGATGAAGTGTAATTTTTATCAACTATATTCAAGTTATTTACAAATTGGAAACAGGGTAAAGACTAATAGCACAATATTACTTATGAAATTATGAAACTTGATGATCCAAGCCTATTAAATTCCATTCTATAAAAGTTTTTTTTAACTTCTGTAAACTTAATGTTGTTTTATGCACAAATACAAGTTACATATTAAAGCAGCATGACTAAGTTGATTTTTGTCTTTTATGCTTTTGCCTGTTTATAAAAGTAGTGAGACCTCAGCCCCCCCCCCCCAAAAAAAAAGAGAAGTCCTAAGGTTAAACAATATTTCAGGTTGGACATGCAAGTGAAGCAAGTTTTTCCAGTTAATGCCTAAATTATCATGAACCAACCTGCAAATGATGCCAAAGTGTTTGCACTTCTCTCATGTTACTGCACCAGATGTATGTAAATGGTGTATACTGTTTTCATTTGCAAAAAAAAAAAGCAACACTCACTCATACCCAACACATGGTAAATAGCTCATTAGGTAGTGCATTTACCCATCAAAAGAAGACTATCAGACATATAATTTAGAGTATTGGTGCATAGGAAAGCCTATTGCTGAAAAAAATAAAATAATTTCAGTACCAGTACATTCAATTAACTGGGAAGAATTTTAGTTTGAGAAAATTTTTGTGAGTAACAATCTAGAAAGCAAATAAAATATAGATCCATAAGTGATTGAATATTGACAAATATAGCTGAAAATTTAATTTAATCTATTTTGTAGTAAATTGAACAAGGTTTTTATGGATATTTGTTTAAATTCATCTAACCTGATGAGCATCAATTAGAATTGACCTCTAAGTTTATGTAACAGATGGCTGGTAGTTGTAGTCATTTTGGGTTGACTTTACATAAGTTACAAATAAATATGTATTACCAGGTTATGCAATTGTGGATTGAGCACACAAGCCATCAACTCAAGGAATTTATGTTTGGAATAAAAATATTCACTTAGAAACAGATTATCACAATACCAAACAAATTTAATTCATTGTATTCAAATACTTGTCCGAAAATATATTGAAATAAATCTACATCAAAATTACTAAATTCTGGAGAGCTAAATGCTCATTAATCAAACCTTCTGAACATTGAAACTAGAGTAAACAAGTTATCAACTAAGTAACATGAGATATTTTCTCAGACATAATTATGCTTATGCAATTCTGTTAACATATCTTCCAATCTATCTCTTAATAACTATTATATCTTCTCTAAGTTGAGTTAGATCTTTAACAAAATTAAATCTTAATACTGTTCTTTCCTCAGACATAACATATCATTTATAAGATACATTGTTAGACTAGATATATATAGTAATAATTACTTACAGAGAGTTTGTGAGGCAAATGTTTGCAAGGCTTTGTAGCACAGCCATTCTGTATTCAAATGCAGATCTGCTCCAGAACCAAAATCATGGCATTTTATACTACTTAATTAGGATAATTGCGACTCAGCAAGATGTTCAGATTGCTCAATTCTGCTCATGAATCTTTTGACCCGATTGGTACTTTAGGTGAATGGGCTGTATGGAACTAATTCTTACCCATCATTCACTGATATGGGCATAAGTATCCAAACCCACTAACTCCAAAAGTATGGCTACAAACCGATTAACTTCAGTCTTTTTACATATATTCTTCCATTTGTTGCTTTCCATCAAAGTTCTGTTACTTAATTATTTTCTAAAGCCACTTCCCCTGGCTCTGATGCCCAATATGATAAACATTCATTACTTTCTGAAATGGAATCGCATCTGTTCACAGCTGATAAGAAGAACCCCTAACTTCAACCTCTCATGTTATGGGTCTTGATCGTATTTCCAAGTAACTTGTGTACTTTACTTTGAGTATTTCATATTTTTATTTGGTCATAACACTGGACTGTTAGCATTAGGTACATTTACGGCCTTATTCTTTCAACTGTTCCTCTTTAAATGTCTATTATGCATTCAACATTATATGTTTTTTTCATTCTTTTATATATATATATATATATATATATATACGTAGTATATA